GGTCTATCAGAGATAAGACTTAAACCATGTAAGAATGTCATTATATATGGCAGATGCTTGAAGTTTCATGAAGAAGAAGAAAAACAACTTCTTCATGTGCAGTATAGTGTGTTCAACTGTATCAAATGCCCTTTGTAGATCTAAAAGTATCATGCAATACTGCCTTTGTCCATTTCAAATAATGCAATCTGTTAAATGAATCAAACATGTGTCAATTGAAAAACCACTTCTAAACATTATATACAACAAAAATAGTATTATAAGTAATACCTAAGATAGACAGAAAACAACAAATAATTTAGTAAACATGAGTTACTTCCCCTTAAAATAGAGAAAACCTGAAACCCAAAAGAACACCCTAAACAGCAAAATTATGAAATGCTGCATGCTCAGTTTTATTAAGCCATGCAAATTAATGGTAAAGTATTCATAAAAAATAGATGGCCATGTGACAGCAGTAATTGCAGAAAATCGGATAGCTTTCAACATCCGGATACTGGTACACTTTGTAAAAACAACCATTCTGCGCAACAGATAAATGTAATAAGGATAAAATCAATAGGATAATCGTTTACAACAGTTCATTACCTATCCTTATACTCAATTGCAGGTGAACTTTCTTCTTGTAGGAAAATTTTGAAAATGTATAAATGAATGAATGAACTGATACGGCCTCAATCTAGACCTCAACGATATTCGAAATCCCGGTTTTAGTATTGTCAATAAAACTAAGGGACAAGCTGTTAAACTTAACCTGCAATTTAGTGAAAATAATATCACAATGCACATGCTTTTTACATAAAGTTATTAAATACAAATATAACAACACATTTGTTTACTTGATTTTTACGAATCAAAATAAAACTAATTAACACAACATGAAATTAACTGCTAATAATAACAGCTCCTTCCATAGGCAAAAAAAAAAGCATTCCATATTAGACGACGCCGCTCACCGGCGTCGCCAATAAACTTTCAAATTCGCTCCGCGGGCACCAGGCAAATACTTGACACACGTTGAACAAAAATACATGACACAAATCAACTGCCATAAATAATCAACCTTTATAAATTACTTTTATATATCAAAAACACCATTTTATTAATTTGAAGGTTAATTATGCATCCGATCCAGACAGAGTCTTCATTTCTACTAAAGTGTTTTTAAAGTATTTTATTGCCAGTAAACAGAGGCAGATCAGTCTGACCCCCTGGTGTATGTGGCACAAACTGATAAATTCGCAGGCCAGGTCATGTATAAAATGACCAGGGAACTGTAAACAGACGTTAAAAAATTTGATACACATCGGAAGTTTAACACAAGGAGAATATTTATTATATTTGAGCCGTGTCACGACAAAACCAACATAGTGGGTTTGCGACCAGCATGGGTCCAGACCAGCCTGCGCATTCGCACAGTCTGATCAGGATCCATGCTGTTCGCTATCAGTTTCTCTACTTGTAATAGAGTTGGTAAGCGAACAGCATGGATCCTGATCAGACTGCGCGGATCTGCGGATGTTTCTAAATTAAAGATTTAACATTTTATGTTTAAATGATGAATTGTTCTTAAACTGTGGCTAGTGGGGCGTGGACGGTAGTTTGCACTTGACAGTACCATCCATGAACAGGAACCTGCAACATTTTCAATTTTGCCGTTTAAGGTTTTCTTTAGGGACTCTTATTTTCTCTATTTTACTTTTAAATATATTGTAGACTTACCTCCTTTATTGACAAATACAAAACAAGGCTTTATATAATTCTTCATGAATGTATTTCATTTTATTTTATGCTTTTCAGTGGATTACTGATTTATCCGTGAAAATTATATTTGGTAATTTCACAGTGAAAATTATCAAAATATAATTTCACTCTTTTCAATGACGAAACTACTTTTTTAAGATTTTCCCCATGTGGTACCTCAATTTTATTTTTGCTGACAATTCTGACAATGTCAGGCTGTTTAAAGAAAAAGCAAAACTGAAATTGATAAATAACTTAAATGTCAAAAGTAATAAAAAGAAGAAAACTTACTTCTATTCATTCAAATTCATGAAATTCCAATCACCAAATTTCGTTTTTTGTTTCATTTTGACAGTCTCAAAATACATTCCTTCCCCATGCAAAACTGCTCTTGATGACATTTGGGCATATTAAAGTATCCTACGAGCAATAACTGCCGTATGCTTTATGAAAAATTGAAAGCATTGACAGCCATAACTCCGAAGAATAAGTTAAATCAACCCAGCGTTCTTGAGCAGGTTTCCAAGTTTTTCCATTTTCCTAGCTCCTTTTCTGAATGTTTTCACATCTGTCAACACTTATTTTTTGTCTGTTACAATCCTCAAATAAGTTTTCTTTCTTTTAAAAATGTGTATGACTAACAAATCCAAATTATATCCCTCTGAATCTTACACAATTATTTTCCTCCCATGAAATACACAACTTTAAAAAATGGCTGCCGCTTACAATTTACAAAGCCAGGTCTAATATAAATTCGCACTAAGTAACAGAAATATGGATGGATGGTTGGACTTTTTCTCCTACAAGAATTGTTTGTTTTTTATTATCAAAACAGGCGATCATTCATATTTTTTTAATAAAATTAATAAATATCACCGTCATTTAATGTTGATTGGCGGACTTATTTTTCAGCTCAAGACTTCTTTTTTTTAATGAGAAATTCAGAATAAATGGGGCTCTCAATGGGGGAAACAGTTTTAATATTAACGTTAAAATTATGGAAATTTCGTTTTAACTTGTTTTTAAGCATAAAATAAAAAGAAAATTTGTCTGTTTGTTGTGTAAGATGTAATTTTATTTCATCTCGTGAACTTTAAAAACAGTATTCTCACTCGTGGCTTCGCCACTCGTGAGAATACTGTTTTTAAAGCCCACTCGATGAAATAAAATTTCATCTTACACACAAACAAACAAATATCCTCTATATATTCAACTAGAATTTATTTTTTAAGATTTAACTTCAATATATACAAAAGTCTCACAACTTGTAACAAACATAAAAACATACTTTCAAAGAATCACATAACATTGGGATTTCCAAGACCAAACCTTAAAAAACATTCATATTCATTTCAGCTATAAATTACACATACAAATTTAAGCTGTATGTCTACATGCAAGTCAAAAATTAATGATCAAATACCAACCTATTTTTAGACAATCAGTAAATCTATCAGAGCTCTATACAATTAATCAATTAATTAATTAACTAATTAATTAATCAACCAATTATTTCTATAGCTGTTTTAATTCATTAAAAAATACATATACACAATTCAATTCAATTCTTTTATTCATTGAAAACACATTTTCATATGAATATAAACAGCTAACAAAACAAAAACTTCATCATATATAGGTAATAAACATTATAAGATTGACATAATTTTAGCACTTATAATGAATAATGCTATATGCAATTGTTGTTATACCATTGTAAAATAGAAAATAACAAAATTAGAGAATGACAAGTTAACAACTTATAGGATTTTCTTACAAAGTTTAGCTAATTTTGTTAATTTAACATGGTCTTTACTGTTTATTAGTTCATTCAATTTATAAGCATTTTAGTGACAATAATAATATTTCCTCAACATTTTTGTTCTGATTTCTTTTCAAGAAAATAATGAATTTCAGTACCAATTATGTTTTTATGACAATGAGTACAGGTTCTTTCAATGCCAAGATGGCGGCCCTTTTCTATAGGGAGATGGTGATTTGTAGTGATATTTCATAAGATCAACAGGTAGTTCGTCTTGGTTTTAACAACTTTTTTCAACTTTAACAAATTACTAACATTCTGATTAATAAGATACTCAGAAAGTCCCAAATCATCTAAAGTGTTCTTGACAAAGTTTATACATGGAAACTTACATATATTGTTAGGATGTAATGCTTTAGCGGTACTGTAGACTATTTTACATATTTTGTCACTTCTAAATGACAAAAGTTTTGACCAGTAGCAAAGCACTCTTGAGTGAATTTGTATAGAAATAGGCTTTATCCATAATTCACCATAAATCATATAGTTCGTTGTAGATTGTTTCAGACTCAGAATTAGTTTGTAATATTTAAGTTGAACACAAAATAGACTTTCACTGATTTACAAGGGGGACATTATATTCATTATATTCAACTAGAATTTATTTTATATTTCAAGATCTTATTTCAATATATACAAAAGTCTCACAACGGCGGGAAACATAAGCAAACTTGTAACATACATAAATACATACATTCAAAGAATAACATTAATATATAATGGAAAACGGCTAGTGGGATTTCCAAGTCCAGAAAAACCATTCATATTCATTTAAGCAATAAGTTATGCATACAAATTAAAGTTGTATATCTACATGTATGTCAAAAAAAATTAAAAAAAAAAATAATTTAAAAAATGCCGAACCAAAAATCAGCCTATTTGTGGATAATCAATAAATAAGCTAAACAATCAATTAATAAATCAATCAATTATTCAACCAATTAATTGTATTTGAGCTATAATGGCACAATCTTATCAATATGATAAATTGAAAGCAAACAGTGTTTCATTTGTTCAACTTCCTGTGAGGAAAAGCATAAAATTTGAAATATTAACATTTATTATATACTTATAAATGAAATAATGAGAAATATTGATGAAATAAAATGCGTATTTTCATTTTCCGTATTTTCACTGTAAAAATTTATTTTTCACTGCAGTGAAACATATTTTCCGTATTTTCACTGGTGTCTTGCCGGACTACTTTCTTTTAAATTCTGCCAGTACACAAAATTTAAGGGAAAATCCTTCAAATTTTTATATCAAAAAGGAGAAAAATGTATATAATAAACAGAAAATTTAAGTTTTTCTATAAATACATGATTTATTTCCATCTTGTGGCATGAAAATTACCATATTTCACTCGTGGCTACCGCCACTCATGAAATATTTATTTTCATACCACTCAATGAAAATAAATCATGTATTTATAGAAAAAACTTGAATATCCTCTATTGATTTAAGAAAAGCACTTAAACTACAAAAAAAATCGAAAAATAATAAAGAAATATGCTCAGAATCAAAATGAAAATCGATATCTGGGCGATTCTTAGCCGGATTTGAGTGAAAGGCGTTGCATCGCTTTTCATTTAAGAGTCATTTTGCGCAATAAAAATTATTATTGGGGAAAAACCAGGGAAAAGGAATTATCTGAAATTTGCACCAAGGTTTTTTGCTCAGACCTATACAAATCTTTGAAAAATATTTTCAAACTCGTCACATCAAAATAAAATTCAGTGGAGTCCCTTAATTAACTTTCTTTTAGTATCTACAATGTTTGTTAAATGAATTAAAATTTTCTGGATTGAATGTTTTTTTATTTAATAAAAATGTTGGACCTCAACGGTTCAATAACATTTTGAAAGTGAAAGAGGAAATTTTGCATACATGCTATAATAAGTTTTATTAAACATTTTCTTTGTAAAAATATGTATATGAATTAGTAAATTAAGTTGTGACGTGACTCATTTTGGCTTATTTTTTTCCTTATATTTCTAGAGAGGAAAAAACAGCACATTTAAGCATAAAATAGTTCTAAATGCTAAACAAGTTGAGCAAACATACTCGCAAACAGATTGCATTGGAGTGTCTTTTCGATATTAGCTTCCAAGCAATGATTTCAATGCGAATCTTTTTCTAGCTTTTTAAAAAACGATCCAAGGTTCCATACGAAGGGCTTAATTTTCTTTTCCTCTTTTTCTTATCCTGCTGTTTGCTTGATTTCTCTGTATATGTCTCCTTTTCCCCTTTTACTATTTGGAGCGTTTCAGTTAATGTACATTGGCGCAATTTTCTAACACTATTTTCTTTCTCTTCTTGTCTTTCATTTGTTTGTTCGTGTGTTGGAGGTACAAATATATGTCCATTTGCGTCTTTAGCGAGTTCCCCTACCAATGAAGATGAAGCTCCATTGTTATTTACATTTACATGATTATCTCCAAGTTCAACATGACTAAGCTTCTTTCGTTTCTTAGCTTTTTTATTATTCACATTTTTAGAGCCTCTTCTTTTTCTATGTCCTTTGCTTTTCTCTGACATGCTGGTCTCTTCTCGTTCATCTGCCCGTGTGCTTGATCGCCTTCCCTTTTTGTTTCCCTTTTTCCTTTCTTTTTTCTCCTTCTTTTCTTTAACATCCTTTACCAGTTTTTGTTTTTTGACGTCTGGACCGTCAACCGATTCACTTCTGAATTCCTCGTCGGCAAATGAAATATACCAAGTCAGCTCTTGCTTCGTTTCTATGTCTCGATCAGGGAACCTACCCTTGCTTTTTTGAGGTCTTTTCAAATTGTCCACTGCTGTTGTTATCTTTCCCGACCTTTGCAGTATATTCAATGGACGTTTTCTGAATACGTAGTTTGTATCTAATAAAACATAATCGTTGATGTCGCTTATTGGTACACGCTCCTTTCCTCTAAATTGACTATAAATCATCTCTGCAACTTTTTCGTTGTCATCCATATTTACAAAATTTAGGTTTTGTCCCTTACAAAAAACATCATAATCAGACATGACCATTTCGCCTTCTTTCTGGCTACATCTGTTCATCGATTCCTTCATTGCCTCTATACCGCGAACATGGTTTGTTACATGAACCATGTGAAATAGTGTTGTATTCTGCTTATCCTTGAGCTCAAATAGCGATGAATATTTACAATTTATTTTCTTTTTAAGAAAAGCTTCATAATTGCGCGCACATTTGTTTATGTTGTTACTAAATTCACATTCCTTCTGTGGCTGGCTGAAGTGAATTACACGCTTCACAAATTCTACAAGTTTATCCTCATTTTCTTCTCCATCTGACTGATCAATGCCATAATATTTTGCAACCTCAAGGGGTATTCCGTACAGCTGCAGAACATGCTCATGAGACTTTGAAACAAACCGGTTTACAAAACTACTCATGAAGTTGATCAATATTTCATTTCCAGGACCTGGAGCAAATTGTTGAACATGAGCCATTGGTGTATCTTTGAAACCAAAAGGATCAAGAAATGTAAGACTTCTTACAGATGGATCCCGAAGCATCTGTGGTGCTGATGTATCTGCAAATGCTTGGTTGTAAACTTCGACTCTTACGGAGAAGTAACCTGTATTTATATCAAACAATGTGCTCTTCTCCTCTTGAGAAAATCCATATTCGTATTCTGGATAGTGTCTTTCTAAAAATTTCATAATCAACAGTTCTACATTTTCAGCAAGTTTCATGTATTTTGCAGTGTCTTTCTCAATAAGTTGCAAAGTTATGTTTGCAGATTTGTTCAAAATATCTCGTCTCTGACTCCGTGTTTCTAGTTTAGTCGCAAGTTCTTCTTCCGCTTCTACTTGTGAAGTTGTCCAACCCCATATGCCACCCTGTTCAATGTCTGATTTTTCTTGCGACACGTAGCCAAGAATTTCAGCTGCCTCACTATACCCAGTTTCCTGATCTTCCAACACTTCTGTCCCAAAGGTATTTGTCACTTCTGGCTCGTCTTTATTTTTTCCTCCTTGCTTTTTCATATCTCGATTATAGTACAATTCTAAAACTACCATCAACGCAATAAGGGGCGATCCATATTTTTCTATTTCAGTCGGCCAGTTACTACCATAGCGACCTTCTCCGGCAAATGCATCTATATAGACAGTTTTCAGGTTAAATAGTTCGTCTTGTGTCTTTGCGTTATACGCTTGAGTCTTTGCAATATACGCTTGGAGATATTTCTTCAACATAACTCTTTTTATTAAACCATGAGGAGTATCTTCATCGAAGAAAAACTGTTTTCGTTTCTTTTTACCCATTGCTACAATCACTTGTACGTTACACTTGGCTTATTTATGACCTGAAAATAGAAACGAATTATTTTAAAAACTATAAATTTAAACACGTAAATACGTCAATATATTTTGACTAGTCAACATCAACCTTTTGGTTAAAGAGAAGAATGTTGTTTATTTACAGAAATCTCGGAACACTACAACCGCACATGTATCGCCATCACAGTACGTGAGAGCTAAGATAATCTTATTTCAACTTTTTGATAAACTTATCTTTTTCAAGTGGGTAGTACTAGCTTGAAAATTATCTTTTATTTCCTTTACAAATCGCATTTTTATTTTGTTGTGTTTTACAAGGTCAAGTGTATCATGTGATAGTGTATGTACATGTACTTTGAATTTTATGATAAAAGAAAATAAAGTACAAGAAGACTCGGTGCAATATATTATTTACTTCTTGTCATTAATTTAACCAGTTAACTTTGTAAGCAAAGTCTTCCGATGAGCCAAAAATGATTATCAAGATAATCAACCCTTACAAAAATGTACTAAAATTTTAAGTCAAGTAATAATTACATGCAATGAATGACTGAATTTTAAGTATCTAGATCACATATTTACTGACTGACGCTGTCAATCGCAACTACTCGGCCCTTTCCGTCAGTCTTCGGACACAATAGTATGAATACACAAAACGGATACAGTATTTTGGTTTACCTAGGCTTAAAAAACTAGACATGTAAGCAAATGGTAATCTAATGCTTGGAGTTGTTGACAAGTTTATTTCCAATATATCAAGTAAATGCCCACCTAAAATAAGTGAATTCATAGATACAAAAGCAAACATTACATTATTTGTATATTTATTATTATGGTTGTAGAAACCGAAAGTACAAAATGCCAACCTATTGACATTGAGTCGCATTTGCTTAAAATTGTAAATCAATGGGCATACTTAAATTAAAAATGGTTTTCAGATATATTTTCAATCATAAATGTTCCGAAACAGAATTATTTTCTTTTGGATGTCAATTATATGCACATTCGTTTTACATTATCGAAGATAACATTTACATCTGAAACCACGTGGTAGAACTACTTTTACTTCGTATCGTTTCCATAATAACCGAGACAGATTCGAATGTGACGCTGTTAACTGCTTTTTTTCTCCTCATATGGACATTTATTTGGTTATTTACGTGGATTTTAAGTGCCGTTTGCAAAGTGTAAATAACTTTCTTTGATCACTTGAAAATATTTTACTTTTTGATTTATTTTCATACATCAGTCTGGAGGTATCCTGCTTTAAAATGGAGTTTTTTTTATTTCATTGTAACCTGATGTTTCACTGACAAGAAGTATTTCTGACGATGTAAAACTGCTTTTACTTGACTTCCGGTATGTACATATTTTTCCGGGATCGTGGCCGTTATTGTTAAACAAGTTATACCTCGGCAAATTTTTATGTTGAATAAGATATTCACTAGAGAATTAATGAAATATTATTTAAAGAAGTGTAAAATACTAATTGGGAGGAAGTTCTCCTAAAGAATATTTCCGATACTCCTTTAGATTATTTTATAATCTGCAGGACGTGTGAACAATTGTGGTTTAATGAGAAAAACAATTAGACTCCACTCTGAGAACAAACCGAAAATTTGTTTGTATTTCTACCTTCATTGTGAACATGCAAATTGCTTAATTATAATAATAATACTATTTTATAGTATTTGTATTTATAATATATTCTGTTTTTTTTCATGAAATAAAATGCGTATTTTCATTTTTGTACAAATTTATTTTTCACTGCAGTAAAAAGTATTTTCCGTATTTTCACTGGCGCTTTCCGGACTACTTTTTTTCAAAATTCAGCCAATACAAAAACTTTAAAGTGGAAGCCTTTCAATTTGTAACATCCAAAAAAAATGAAAAAAGGTATATAATAAACAGAAAACTCAAGTTTTTCTCTATACAGTTTTTACAGCTTGTGGTATGAAAATTATCATATTTCACTCGTGGCTACTGCCTCTCATTAAATATTTATTTTCATTACCACTATCGATATGAAAATAAATCCTGTAATTATAGACAAAAAACTTAAATATCTAAATATTTATTTCACACCCAACAAACTTCCAGCGTTTGCCCCATGTGATTGCCCAATATAAATTATCATTGAAAACAATATCAGCAGTTTAGCTAAGATAATATTAGAAAATAGTCACTTACAAAGCAGTGTTTTTCCAAGTATTTTACAGTCGAATTTAAAGGCTGTTTACCCTAGTCCAAAATATATATTATTTTTCCCCTAAAAATACTTATATTTTCCCCTGAAATGCCCTGTGCAGTTCTAACTTGAGAGTAGCTCACTTATATCAGCTAGAAGTCCCTATAAATACACGTTTCTTTGTACCATGTATGCTAAATTGAACTGAAACTGGTTATTTTATTATTATTTATTTCTTATTTATTTATGTTCATTATTTATTTTGTTGTTGTTGTTGTTGCTGCTGTTGGCGTTTTGTTTTGATTCAAAACACGATAATATATCCGGTTTACAATCCCATGCCGTGACTCATCATGTACAGAGTTTAAAGTTATAAACCAAGTGTCTGCATTTCTCAGGGCTGGGAATCAAAACTGCGTCGTATCCTACAAAATGTAAACAAACGCCGCCATCTTGGAACGAAAAATGTATGTTTTTGTTAATAACTCTTTTTGTTGGAAATGACTGAAAACCAGATATATGTATTAACACGCTACACTATTTTCCGCTTCGTTCGGTATATGTTGCTTGCACAACTATTTTGTAAAACAAAAGTTATAGCGAACTTGCAACTCGAAGCGGAGCAGAATTTTTATGAAATTGTGTGGATACGACGCAGTTCATATTGGTTTATCTATCGTTTCTCCTTAAAATCAATTATATATTTGTTTCAGAGTTCACCATAAACTTCAAAACATAATTTTGCATCATTTACTAAATTTCCATTAAAAAGAGATGTTTATTTTCCAAGAAAATAATGATTTTTACGAAATGATACGACGCAGTTGAAAATAAAATATGATACGACGCAGTTGTATTTTCATTGCAGGCTGCATATTGGTTTTAAACTATTTAAATTATGTGCTAGGTATGCTAATAACGTCCAACAACATTTCTTGTTTACAACTTAAGTCAAAAGCAGAGGTCACTCATTGTTTCCATAAAAATGGAAATGTAATACAATTCTATTAAGGCTGCATTTAAGTACCTATCATATTAAACATCTACAAATTCCGAAAAACTGTATCAAATGCAATATACATTGTGCAATAAACACGTGATCGCACACCCATATGACAACGTGTTCCAGTGTTGCCTTAGCATGCTTCTAAAATTGTTCCCGTGAGTTCGAAATGGGGGTGATTACTATTTTTGATACAAAATTCAATATTCCAGTGTAACCTCTCCTGAACCCTGTACTAGTATTAATCAGGAATGACCTTTTTTTAAAAAAAAAAAGAGAGAAAGAATTACAAATTTTGAAAAGGTCTCTTGCTATCGGAAGAGAGCTATGCGCAAATTGCATGCCTACCTTTGTTACTTGTATTGAGCAATAATTTCCGTCAATTCCGTTATTACTTATGTCTTTTACGTGCCGATTTTATTGTATTCATTTTCTTAATAATCGTAGAGAACAGATGACCTTTATTATTTGAAACTGAAACATTAAATTTTTAAAATTATATTATAAATGGTTAAGCTACAATATATTTTTGCAAGTAGGTTATGCGTTCCGTTTAGTCATTTTATGTTCAGCGCCGCTGAACTTTACCTCTGATTTTGTCGTATTGCATTTCTTTATCGCCGATGAAGAAAGGTCTACAGAATGTATTTTCTATATTTGCACTTAAGTATCATTCTTCTCCATAAAAAACTTTAAATTTTCAAAATCGAGTTACATATGATACAACTACAGATTATTTTGTAAAGAAGGTGTCCGTTTTGCAAAGGTATTTTACGCTGTGCACCGATACATTTGATACAGATATAGGCAGACATGATCTTTCAACAGTATTAAAGAAGTTTTCACAATATTGAACAGAAAATTAAGGTCAGATTATCGCATCGAATTTTCAACAGACTAGAGCTCTACATGGCATCTTAACATACCTTCATACTAAAATGTTATTTGATAATGAATTGCCTGAAAACTTAAACAAAGGTTTTCAGAAAATGACTTCACAGAGGATTACCACCTGTTTACATTGAAAATTTCTCTGCTAGTTATACCGTTATAAGAAATTTAAATGTTATTCTCTTTATAATTAATTCAAATATTTATAATCTTATAACTTCACGCCAGAAGTTATTAAAAAAGCTGCTTATTTGTACAGCTGACGTTAACAAATTTTGTTGAAAAAACAAATCAGACCGGTGTGTCCGACCGTGGCCGAGCTGTTTATGTTTACGGAATTCAAATCACTTGACCTGAACTGCTATGAATTCAAAAACCACCAGAGACTTTTTATTCTTTCGTGTGGAAAACCTATGAAGCTAGTTTCAAAATGTCGATGGTTCTCTGCAGGTGCAACATTTTGCCTGAAATAATGCACAAAGGCGCACCTGAGGTCCTCGCCCCTAATAAAGCTAATGTGTACGTAGAGTGAAAGTTTGAAAACAAACCACAAAAAAGCAGTCATTACCCAGAACATGCAGAACCACAGTTAACTTAGAGCGTAGCTAGCCAACATGAATTCAAGTTAATAGATTTCTATATTTTTTGCGAAAAAAATTAGGGATAATATTGAACCTACAGGAAAATATAAAAAAAATATTTCAGATATTATGATCAATTAGGTAACATGTTCATGTTTAACTGAAAAGTAGCTTCCGCAATGTAAACTTTCAAATTAAATGTTATATTGGACATGACACAATGTATTCTAAATAATCAAAAGCAACAGAACATTGCTATACACCGCAAATGATCTGGGTTTTTTTATCTAGCGCAAGTGATTATTCCATAAAATAGAAATAGTTTGCCAAAATTATCTCTGTTTAAAAGACTGCCAAAAATACAACTGCGTCGTATCATATTTTATTTTCAACTGCGTCGTATCATTTCGTAAAAATCATTATTTTCTAAGAAAAAAACAAACATCTCTTTTTAATGAAATTTTAGTAAATGATGCAAAATTATATTTCGAAGTTTATGGTGAACTCTGAAACAAATATATAATTGATTTGAAGGAAAAAACGATAGATAAAGCAATATGAACTGCGTCGTATCCACGCATTTTCATAAAAATTCTGCCCCGCTTCGAGATGCAAGTTCGCTATAACTTTTGTTTTACAAAATAGTTGTGCAAGCAACATATACCGAACGAAGCGGAAAATAGTGTAGCGTGTTAATACATATATCTGGTTTTCAGTCATTTCCAACAAAAAAGTTATAAACAAAAACATACGTTTTTCGTTCCAAAATGGCGGCGTTTGTTTACATTTTGTAGGATACGACGCAGTTTTGATTCCCAGCCCTGATTTCTGCACGACTATGATACATGTATATAATATCTATGTACTTGTAATCTTTGCTAGAGTACAGAAATATAGAATATAAGCCCTTTATAGTCAAGGACAAAGAAAAACTAGAAAAGTGCCGCAATAAAACTGTTTTTCTTTTTACACACATAACAATTTATTTCCGCAACATGTTTCCATCAACATGCGCTGTTTACATATGCACAACTATGACGTAAAAATATACAGTCGTCTAGCTTTAATATTTCATAACTACATCAAATTTCACAACAGATCTATAACTGTTAAAGAAAAAAGAAATGTCATTAACATTATATTGGATACAGTATTTCAAAAAATTATTTAATGTCGAAGTGTTCGAAACTATTAAGTATATATATGAGAAGATCTGGGGGTTTTTTGCGGGGGGGGGGGGGGGGCGGGTTTGGAGGATGTACAGATGTTACAGATCTGTGGTACTAGTTCCTGGCCTAGATTTGTGCGCTTTTAGGCATACAGTTTGAAATGATCTTTTGGGTAGGGTAAGTAGATACTGATAGGAAAAATACTTTTTATCCATAGCAGATTCTATCTTTTTTTATCTAAAATTATATGGATTTATCAACAACAATAAAATGTAAATGCTATCGAGCTATCGTTTAAAGTTTGGAACCATGTTTCAAAGTTTAATTCAATATAGATCTATATTCCAGTTAGTATGATAAACATGGGACAGATATAAAAATGTGATTCTCAGAGACAGACTCTGCTTTGCATGTTTAGTAAACAAAAACAAAAATATCTTGTATTGTTTTGCAGTAATATATTTTAGGATAGGCCGGGGAAACAAACATTGTTTCATTTTAAACCTTATAAATTTACCGTTTATGACATTTTACCATATGTTTTTCACACAAGCGTTTCGGAAGTAGGCCTATATACATGTAATATGATTCATTTGAATTCCAACACCAGTTATATAGCTTTATAAAAGTTGTACATAGCCTAGTTGTAGAATGATTATCTCCTAATGGTGGAAAGGAAGACGGCGTTACATTTATTTACTTACTCCTATGTTCAAATTTATTTAAATTCCAAAACTGATGAATATTCATACTCTTCATTTTAAAACCTAGAAAAAAATCTTTTTAATTTCGTTTATCGTGAAATATTGTTTGACATACCTTAAATTAAAGAATATCTGTCTTTATTCCAATACAGCCTCTGTAGTTCGTAATCGGCAGCCTAGTAAACCGAAATAAAATCGCGCTGAAGCTTAAGTAGGTAAAATTTTGGAGAATTCCGAGATAAAAATAGAATGACGCTGTATGTTCGATGACATTCTATTTGGGATTTCCAGATCCCGAGCTAATTTTAGAAACAGTACTCGGAAATTCCAAGCTAAATAAAGAAAATATACATGTACATAGCCGAAATAAAATCGCGCTGAAGCTTAAGTAGGCCAAATTTTGGGAATTCCGAGATAAAAATAGAATGACGCTGTATGTTCGAGAACATTCTAATCGGGATTTCTAGATCCCGAGCTAATTTTAGAAACAGTACTCGGAAATTCCAAGCTAAATATAGAAAATATACATGTACAATTTATGCTTACGATTTATATACGTACGTGTAAACGATAAACTTAAGAAATTTTTAACGGCCCCAGACATTTAGCTTTAACCTTTAAATAGATTAACAAAAATATTGATGTTAAAGATAATATTTTCGCCTGTCTTCAAAATTTTAAATTTCGTAAAAATTTAATGTAGATTTAATCATTTCCATAATCATTCTCTTTGTAATCATCATCGCTTTTATCATGAATTGATCAATTTAAATTTACTTCAATAATCGTATATTATATTATCAACCTCATTTCTTTTATCACTATCTTCGGTATTATTTATAATAACTTAAGTTTTTATATATATTCTGCTCGACTAG